TGTACTGACTAAAAATAATAATAATTCACATCTTTATATCAACACAATGGCAAAGTATAGTTGTTTTGTTTAAAGAGCAAAAACTGTAGGATTTGTTGCAAATTTTCCCTTTGATTAAATAAACTTTTCTGGATATGTTGCAAGAAAATGTTTTGGACAGTCCTTATGGTCTAGGACACCTTGCTTGTAACAACTTTTAGAAACATTGGGTATGTGATCTTGGCTTGCTCTCATAACAACTTCGGTGAAGATGCTTATCGTTCTTATTACTATTATTATTTTTATATAGCTGATTAAATGTCATAACACTTAGAAATGAATGTTCCATTTAATTATAATAGAAGGACAGCTATTAGGTGTAGTGATGACTGTTCTTTATTCCACTGGCTTTGAAGTTTAACTCCACCCTACAAAGCACCTTCTTCCTGCTTTATAACCATAATTCTCTCTGTAAAATGCTTGCACAAGATTTCTGTGTATTGACACCCATTCAAAAACAACTCCAGGATTACAAATCAAAACTGCTTGAATCTGAGTCACAGTAAAATCACAAAGTCACTTACCTTTACCAGTAAGTTGTGCTAAAATAAGACTGAAATACTTAGTTCTGCTCTAGTCTACAGAGCAAGTTACACAGCATGATCCATTCTGTTGTTCCAGTATTATCATACTATAAATATGTGAATTATTAAATTAAATTCCATACAAGTGTTTTACTAAAATTAGACAGTTCAATTAAGTGCTAAATTGTTTCATTTTGTAAATTTTCTGTATTAATACCTGTAAGGTCATTTATGTCAGCTCAATTACTTTCCCTGTGAGCTGCATTTTGCTCAGTCTGTAGCCCAATCTGCAGTGACAGAGCCGTTTCAAATTCAAGATTGTTTACAAATTTGGATCCTATTTTAACATATGCCAAAATGAGGTAACTTCAATAAATTATAATGCAAAATTGATCTCAGTGAGAGAAGTAAGGTGCAGAACATAAGACAGAATTTGTAAAGCTTTGGAAAAAAAAAAAAGTTGAAATTCTCAACTTCTCATTTTATTGTCTTCGAATACTAATAGCATAAACAGAGTAACAAGTATCACAATTACCATGGTGTTGTGAGTGTGAGTTATTAAGACTATCAGCTCTCACAACTTTTGCAGGTAATGAAATGAATATTTTGAAGGAATTTTGAAAAGGAGTTATGGCACCATGATGACTTTTACTTCGTATATGAATTTTTGATTCTTAAATCTGAAATGAAATGTCACCCCCTTTTCAATTTTAAAGACAGCAAGTTGGAATAAAGCCCTCTGCTTTAATACTGTGATGGGCTCTTTCACTCTGCATTTATTTATTTATTTATTTTCATTTGTGTGTGTTTGTTGTTTTAATAACAAACAATTCTAGTTCCTGGTTTGACAGCCCCCTGTAGATCCTTCCTGGAAGGTGGAAATCGGGTGACCTCTCCTAGTGCCATCAGCTCTCTAACATCCTGTCGTGAGTGTGATTCGCCACCTCTTCAGCAAGTCTAAAGAGCTTCCAGGCTAAGCATAGAGATTTTGGGATTCTCTTGGCTAGTTTTGCAACTCCTGACTAATTCTAAATGAGCGTGTCTTGTGTGCACTTACCAAGGTAGCTGATTTATCTTTTTGGTACTCTCAGATATCTCTGTTTTGGTTTGTTTTTTTTTTTAATGGATATTTCTTTGAGAGGATTCACTCGCTCTATTGTCTTACATTCTTTAACCTGTAAAAGGGAAAGGAATAAGCACTTTTCTCTTGGTCCACCACAAGTGGTTACGGAAATAATGGTCTTAGGTGGCAGTTGTGGAAATGTAAGATAAACTTGAAGAAAATCCTCTGTGACAACAGTTAAGCACTGGAATAGATTGTCTACAGAGGTAATGCTGTTGGTAGAAAGGGACTGAAAAACTTTAAGAAGCTTTTAGGTATGGTGTTGGCACAAGAGAAGTGACTTTGCAGTCATTGCCACCCCTGTTGACCATGAGTCCAGAACAGAAAAAAGTGCCTCATTCCTCTTCAGCCTCAGCAGACACTGACTTTGATTTCTTTCCTTTCCTCATCAAGGCAGAAGTTATGATACTGATATGCCTTTTTTCTATTGGATTTATTGGTTTATTACCTCTTCAGGTTTTTTTTTTTTTTTTTTGTTTGTTTGTTTGTTTTTAACTAACAAAGGATCTTTAAAATATTAATGAAATTATAACTGTCATTCTTGCATGCTTGAATTGTCACATCCATAAAAAGGCAGAACAAAACCAAACCCTGCAAACATATGAAAGTGTGTACAGAATCGTAACAGGAACAGGGACCAGTTTTGCCTTCTCAAAATCCTGTCCCTGAAACTAATTAGTAGGGGGAAAAAAGTCTCTAGGAGGCTATCCTATGTTTTCCCTTAAAGTATATTCCATAGGCAAATTCTGAATTTGTCATTTAGAACTCTGAAATTCTTATCTGTGAAGCCAGGACACTTTTTCCTGGTGGAAAGATGTTTAACTCACTGAGCTGGGGGAAGGGTAGTTAAGCTCATCTGACAGAGACAGCTCTCTCATGTCCGAAATCTTGGAATGAAATTCTTTGCATGTGTTTATGCATTCAGTGAAATCAGAGGTCTTGTACTGTGTTTACTGAACAGCTTTTATGAGATATAAATACCAGCACATTCTGGTAAGTTTCTAACAAACAGAATGGTCTACTCAATCCCAATATGGTCCCGTGTTGTAGCAGATTGGATACTACAATGATGGGAAATGCATTTAAACTTTATCCAATGGTGTGTACGTCTTATAAATTTAGATACGCTGTGGGTGTATAGAAGCTGATTGTATAGAATTATTCATTATGTGCCTTATATCAAGTTTTGGCTCCTATTCTGTTCAATGGATGCACATTAGCATTCTTCTTGATCTTCGGTGCATGAAGCTTCCTGCAGAACTGGTTTAATCTCCTGCCAGTCCTGCCTAAGAATATTCTATTTCTTCTGCTCCTGTCGTTATACAACTTATTATTGATAGTTGGTGATTTTCCAGTACTCTTCCCAATTCATAAAACTGCAAATGGGGTGCTCACAGATCAGCTGCGTCTCTCAAAAAGCGTGATAGGTGGATATATGGATGACTGATGGATTATTTATGAAAGGCTCATGATGATTACCTCTTACATGTGACTACAGGTAGAAGAAGGTTCTTCTGTGTCTTTCTGACAGATCATTTGACTTATCAGCTGACTTGCAATTAAAATAATAAGGCAATTATTAAATTAAGAGTTCTGGAGGTGATAGCGTAAATTGCACTGACCACAGAATTAGTAGTTTGTGGAGCAGCACACAGTTCCTTCTCTTTACTTTTACTGTCTGCAAAGCACATCTCTCTTTCTACTACACTGAGTTTAGTTTAGCCATGTGTTCTTTGCTCTGAAATGCTTTCATTCTACTGTCTGGATAATCCTCCTTACAGACAGAGAGGTTGGGATGCTAGGAACGGGGGAAAATCTTTTCTGATATAATTAAAATGGGAGTTTTATCAGAAGCTTTAATAGCTGATAAAAATAGCTGATAAATCAATGAAGCCAGGTAGAGCCTAGACCATGCACACAAAGAACTAGTGCCTGACCCTTGCCACATCTTATTTATTTGTCCTTCTGTTTTTAGTTGAGAAAACTTTCCCAATATTCTTATCTTGAAATAAACCTTGTTTTTCAGATGGTATATATTAGCATGGAAGACCGATGTGTCCCCTGCAAAGGAAGTCAAAATTTCTCAAGTTGATTCCCCTCAATAGTCTTTCAGGTAAGGACATCTCTCATTACAGGTATTAAAAATATTTCACGTTGCCTTTAAGATTTTATGAACACAGAGTAATCTGAAACAGTTTTTTCTTAAGTTTTTAAGCCTCTTTAAATCTGGCTTAAGGCCTGTACCCGTTTTTCTGGAGTTTTTAGCTTGTTCACTGGTCTAAGAGTGGTATGAAGTAGGGAAATGACTGTGTTAACAAATATTCCAAGGTATTCACAGCAACTCATAAAGGTCACTGACTAAAATGACCAAATACAAATAAAAATATTGCCTTGACTTCAGCTGCCTTAGGGTTGTGGCCACTTGCACACCCCGGCCTACCTGGTCACTTCCTTCAGCACTGTTCAGAATGGCAGCATTGGAACCACAAGGGGCTAATCCTGCCTTTACACAACACAAGTAGCTTAACGCATGGTTGATAAATTGTCTATGTAGCAGACTGAATGACAGAACTTTTAAATCTCAATCTAAATACTGAAAATGCACTTCAGGCAGAAAGGAGCCGCTGTTTCATGCAATACAATCCAAAGGTGTTAATATCTGATAAATTTGTATGAAGGGTTTATGCTACACCATTGTTACGGGATAAAAGGAACCAAGTGTTAAAGAAGATTCTTTAGAACTTAACTAATGCAGCAATATTACATATCACACATAGACTTGCTTCAATGTGTGTTTGTAGGTATGCTGGCTTTTTAGTATGTGTATTCCTTATAAGTTATGCAAGTAAAGACAAATATAAAAGTGCACAAATAAAAATAGTTCTAAAAGAACAATTACATGAGAACCAGACAGCAGAAAGCAGAGCAGGAAAGCTGGAGTATTACCTACTTGTGAATAAGTTAATACAGAAACCAGAATCTGGTAATATTTAAATGCATCTCTATAATGTGGAAAAATATTTGGGAGGGAAGTATAGAATCTGATATAGCCATAAAAGCAGCAGCTAATGTCAATTTAAATAACAGCATGGATTTTTGGTATTGTGCACATGTAAACCCACATATCTATGTAAATCACCGGTGTTCCCACAACAGGGTACCTCTTTAGAGTGCTACTTGCATAGAGTAACCATTACCCAGGGATGATAGGAAGCTACTAATTTGTTAAGCTTCTTTAAACGAGGAACCAGAAGGCAGTTAGTGAAAGCCGAGGTCCTTTAATCTCTCACTGCTCAATGAACTTTGTTCTTCCTCTGTAACTTGATATGGGATACGTGTGTAAAGACCTCCCTTGGCGAAAGGTGCAAAGTATCATATTATTCATAGGAAAAGAGTAATCCTCCATATCACGTTAGTGGTTTTACAACACGAATGAATGTGGCTGTCTAGGAGAAGGCACATGGGGAAGGCTGCAGCTGTAGAATTCAAATATTATTCTGGGTGACATTTTTGAATCTCTGCTCCAGGAGGAAAGTTACACAAGTTGAGAAAAGAGTAATCATATCGAGAGATCAGCACTGGAAAATGCTTTCTGGGTCAGAGTTACAATACCTACCAAAATGGTGAGTTTTATGTTACCCTGCTGTGTGCCTACATGGTTCCTGAAATGTTGCTAGAGCCAAAGAAATTTGGCAGTTCAGTATGATGTTTGAAATTCTAAAGCTAGTACTCCCCTCAGAGAATTAGAAATGAAAACAAGTCTGCCTGCTGATGGAACAGGATGACAGAGCCCCTGCTTCTTCCATCAGGAATGCTCTGTTCATTTTTCTCCTGCACCAGTCATTAATCATTCCTCTTTCAACTTTCATTTTCACAGACTCACTATCTACATAAATGAGGGTGAGATACTGAGGTAAAAAAAAAAAAAAAAAAAAGTTGCAGGATTAACATTTGTGCTTCTTAAAGCCCATTTAAAGATTACTTTCTCGGGACAGAAAGTGACTGCTTTTACTAGCAGCATGGTATAGGCTTTTTGTTTTGTTTTGTTTTGTTTGGGGAGGAGGAGGGGAGAGGTTGTATTGTATTGTGTATTGTATTCCAGTACACACCACACCACAATCAGAAAACCAAATATTCATCACTTTACATAAGGTTCTTATCTGAAAATCTTTCTTGTGCTAGATAAAGAATCTCTATGGCAAAAACGTTTTGAATGTAACAAAAACATTTATGCTTAAATGGGCTATAAAAGTCACAGAGCCTTCCATTAAATCAGAGCTGTCATAAACAAAATATCCAGTCCTATTTAAAAGAACTGTTTCATGTTGTTTGTGCTGCCAACTTGCTGATCTTGCATAAACTTATTCCCTTAATAATGAGTTGGTTAGAGTAACACCCATCATCCAAAAATGTGTTACCTTGTAGGAGATCTGCATTTTAATCAGCTGATGAAACAGATGTGGGAGGATTGTCATGAGCTCTTTCTGAAATCAGAGAGAAGCCACATCAGATCTATGGTAAAAAAAATGCCATCAAGTTGGTTTCGTGTTTTTTTCTTTTCTTTTTTTTCCCTGACCAGTAAGAAACCAACTGAAAATTTAACCTTTATAAGCAGAGAAAGTCCTAATTGAAGGGCTTGAATTGAATAATTTTATTTAATGAATTTTGCAGAATGTTTTATTAAAAAAAAAAAAAAAAGTTGAAATTTTAGGTATGTTATAGGAATATAGCAAAATGTATAGGTCAATCCAAGGGAGAGAAACTAAAAGTAAAATGAAATTCCGTGATAGACAAATGTGTATAACTCATAATTGTTTAAATATATGTAGCCAAATAATATGGTGTAAAAGAGAGGATATATGGGTCACAGCTTGGATACAAATCGCATGTATTCCAGTTAGCTTGTTTGGATACTAGAACAGTGTGGATGTGGTAGCATGCAAGCAGGTTAAATTGTCCCTCTTCCAGTTCCTATGAGCAGGCTGCCTGAGCTCTTCAGATATTGTGTTCTAATCTGTGCTTAGCTGTGGCATACCTTGACTGGGGAACTTTCTATCAGTTACACCTGATATTTTAAATTCCTATCATCCTTCATACTTGGCCATAGAAATTTTGTAGCAGTTGAACAGGAACATAATAATGCATCTGAAATTAAGCACACCTTAAACCCTTTTTTCCTTGTGATAGATTACTGGGTGGGAAATGGTCTACTTAAAAATATGACAAATAATAAGAACTTTCTCCCTTGTAGTTGTAAACAGATTTTAATCTTAGACAAATTACAAATATATATATTATATATATTTTAGACAGACCAGCTGCTTCTATGTGCATTTTTAGTCATGCACAAATAAAAGCAAAGATAAACAGCCAGATCCCTGTCTTGTTCTCCCTAGAGCCCAGGGTACTAGCACTTATTTTAAAGTATGTCACAATCCCAGCTCCTTTATCTCCTTCAATAGTGAGGATTGTTCCTTAGGCAGTCTGCCTAGGAGAGGGAAATGCAAATTATTGTTTTGGAATTGAACCCATTTCCTGCTCTTTGGTCATAATGAACGTAATATCTCTCCTTGGCATGGGACTTTAAGTATCCAGCTCCACAGATCAGCTGTTACCTTTCTGTGTTCCACATGACTGCAGGCCCTTTTCCACTATCAGTTTTCTTAAGAGCATCGCTGAGCTATAAATTAAAAGTGGTAGCATAGCGTAGGTGTCGCTGATGGGTGTCCAGAGGACTCTTGCAGTGTCATGAGGAAAGTTTAGTGTCATCTTTTGCTACTTGTTGTGTCCTAAACCTCGGAGATGGATAAAATTCTGTATTTAGCATGCAATGTTGTACTCCTAAACTGTTTTTGCAGTCATATTTGTTAAATGATGACTGATAGAGTTTCAGTAAAATGAGGCATTCACTACTTATCATGCTGAATAAGGGCTTTAATGGATAGGAGAAAAGTGGCTCAACGTGTTTTTTTGGTTTGATCACCAATCTCACGCATAGTATTCATTATCCGAAACAAAGCAAATTGACTAATAAATAACCTCAACAATTTAAATGGGAAAATGGTTGGAACAAAAGAGTGACTTCTGCTTAAGGGTAAATTCAGTATTGCATTATTTCACTCCACAGATTGAAATGCAATCTCTTGAGCTTTTGAGTTATTGAAGATACCGACGTCATCACAAAAACACTGTAGTTATAAAACAAAGTAATTTTATTATATTTTTTCCTTCTCTGTGTACTGTTATACTATGATACAAAGATTACTTTTCCCCTCTGCTAGTACAGCAGAAATTGAAAGTATATTTGCATGTTTATGATAATTTTGGAGTATAAATCATCCTAACTACTAATTGTTAGATTCAGTTTAATTTATTTTTTATTTGTTGTATATTCCAATGATTTCCATTTCTTTTTGAAGTGTATAAACTTCAAGCTACAACTGATATCACATATTTTTTTTTACAAGAAGTAACTTAATGGGATGAGAAGGTTTTCCCTCAGTGTTGCAACAGTTCACTTCCTAGCCTCCTCATTAGTTAGTGGCAGCAGTTAAGTGAGTCTTTAAAACATAGTCTAAACTCTGTTTAAACTTCTCGCTGAACTTTCTTATTACTGAAACACTATAACGTATGACAAGAAGTGCAATTCTGAAATCATGTTAGAACCATTTCAGATCCAACCTTGCTATCTTTGCATCACAAGATACCTTGTTAAAACACAACATTTCTAAATAAAATAAAATACAGCAGATGCAAAGTCGTTGTGGATGAATATCCAGGGATGCTTACATGGAACATACAAGACGATGGGCTCTCAAATGCCTGTTACTGCTCTAGTACGAGACTTTGTGGTTATGACAGATAACTCCAAGAAAACATGAGTTCAGCAGCAGTCAAAAAAAATTAAATGAAAGATTAGAAGCTATTAGGAAAGAAACAGAGAATAAACTAGTAAACATCATTGCGCCATTATTAAAATCCATGATATTTCCACTTCTGAAATACTGTGGAATGATCTAGTAGAACTGGAAAAGGGTCATGAAAAGGGTGCTAATCACCCAAGACATGGAATAACATCTATATGAAGAAGATTGAATAGGGCTGGGATATATATATATATATATATATATATTTGTGTGTGTGTGTGTTGTTGTTTTTTCTTTTATTTTACTTTGTAGCCTGGAAGAGAGAGGACTTGTTAAAGTTGTAAAGAGCTAGGGGCTGTTGGACTAGGAGTCAGATTCAGAAGGAGGTTCTTCATGCAGCCAAGCAGATCTGCTGAATGTTCTTTGCAGAGGACTTGGTAGGTGCCAGAAGTTGGCCTGAGTTCAAGGCGGGTATCAAACAAGTCCTTTATGTGTGAGATTGGAGGTGCTAATGAGAAAACATTACGCTTATGAAATATCCACATTTGAAAATAATTGCTGAATGTAAAGAGGGAAGCATTACCGAGACTTTTCTTCTTCAGACCCCTTTTGGAATATAATTATATTTTTCAGCATCTGCTGCTGCTTAAGATGACCTCTCAATCAGAACTGATATGGTTGCTCTTGTATTTTTAATTAAAATACAAATAGCTAACTAGTGCTGTCCTAAAACAGTCTCAAGGTATCTCCTAAGAGGTTCTTCATTTTTCTCTTGGGAAATAAAGAGCATGTTGTGATCGTGGAGGCATGAACCAGAAGTGCAGAGGATGAGGCAGTACAAAGAACAACCTGTCATATTTTCTCTCAATATTGTCTATCCTGAAGTTGCTGCAGAAATGTGGCAGATGGGCTGCCAGGTGCAACAGAGCCAGTGCTCCCTCTGCTACCCTGGCTAGGTTTTCCCCAGTCAGATCTTTGCTCAATACTTAGCCCTTCCTCACTCAACTCCTGGTAGTTCCACTATAATCCTCTCTACTCCAGCGTGCATTTGTGTGTTACAGACTTGTATTTGTCTTCAGGTGGTTCAAGGAGATCTGAGATCCTGATGTTCCAGAGCTGTCTGTACACCCAGCATCCATAGTTGTTTAATGAAGAAAAGATGAATTAGAGGACAGTGCATTGTGTGTTGATTTGTGACAAACAAATTTATATATATATATATATATCCACAAAGAATTAAGAGCAAAAAGGCACTTGAGAAGCAAAAGCTCTGAGGAAAAAATTAAAAGGACTCTCAAGTCAGAAAGTGCAGTCTGCTCATACAAGCCTGACCTGCATAAAATAGGCTGTCACCATGACCAAGTAATTTTTGCCATAAAAACACAATTTCTGATTTAACAAAGCTGGTCTTTTAAAAAGACAGTGATCTCCTTGTGCTTTAAGCAGCACATTCTGGACAGTCACCCTGTCACTGGTAAACTGCTGGAGCGCTACACCCGCTGTCTTGTCTGAAAGCACCTTTAGAGGGAATTCAGCACATTAAGCTTTTGTTGGTTGCTGAGAAAAGAGGCTGTAGCCAGGCAGTGCTGGCCATTTGGAATGGGGAGAGACATCTTGCTGCCCACATGCCCTTCTCTGCCAGGTGTGTTCCCACTGTCAGCACAGTGTGATCCAGGTAGCCCAGGGTAAAGAGGTTAAGAGGAACAAAGTGGCTGCACTGCATCGGTGTCTGCAGACAGGCACCTTCCACCAAACCTCAAGTGCATTATTGCACTTCCTTCAAAGGGAGGATCAGAAAACCGAAGCCTCTACTTACCAGCTGGTTCTGACTTCCCCTTCAATCTCTAATGCTTTCCTTACAGCCGAAAGCAGATTTTTATCTCTGCCTCATCAAGTTATGGCTGTGCAGCTCCCTGCCATTTTGCTGGCTTCTTAACCCTTTCTTCCTCAACCCCTTCAGAAGTTTCTCAGCCTGGTATTGTGTAGGTATCTGTTCCTCAACATGACAAATAATTTCAATAATTTAAGTGTAGATACCAGGATACAATGTGTATTTTGTAGTGGTCTTCCCAAACAAGTATATTTTATATATCTGCTATTTTGTATCAAAACACAGGTTTATTCCTCCCAGCCAGTTATCACAGCACGAACTCCTTTACCAGGTAGAACTGTAAGACACATAAGGAAATAATCACTTTCGGTTTTAGACGTATAGAGAACGCAGGTCACATTAAAATTCAAGTGCTTTGTTTGAGGCGGTTTTCATTAACTGGTACAGATCCCTGTGCGTACATTACTTACTGTGATTATTTATGACACCAATAAGCCTTACCACATCCACAGACTTTCACGGAAGTTATTTCGTATTTCCATTACAATAGGATGACTTAGGCCTTTCTTTCTGCTGACCCTTGTAAGAAATTTCCAGGGCACTCTTCATTAAGCAGGGCAGTATCCTGCAGACTGGTAAGATTTTGTGAGCTGGCTAACTAATGGTCTTTTCTACGTGTAGCATTACAGCACTTGTTTTTCCCTGAGGAGTATTACTGCAGTTTCTGTGGGTTCCTACTGAAGCGTCAAGCAATTTCTAATGGTTTGTGTAAAAATAGAGACCGGGCTGTTGTAACCATAGGTTGTTGCTTTCCAAGGGATTTTTTTAATTGTTTTTGTCAGAAGCCATCAATAGCTTTTCTCAGCTGGTGAACGAGGAATGAGGTTTTAAGAAAAAATATATGTATTTCTCTTATGTCCATGTACATCATTTGTCTATGCATATAGTGCCTTTGAAACCAGTGGGCTAGAACTTCACATGCATTTTGTTGTTCGTTTATACCCCCGTGTCTGTTCAGGTTTAATGCCTGAGGGTAAAGTGAAACTTTTTATTTTTGATGAATATCTCCAGATGTCACAGTACCTTAAAATACAGAACTGTTGTATCATCCTGCTCCTACACCTCTTAGCTTCTCAACTGCCTGCTGAGCTGGTTTCATGTGAGCACTTTTTAATTTGAGACAAAGCTTTCAGTGAATGGGCAATGTAACGTCATAGGGACTACTGCAGCCAGGATTGCTCCATTCTCAAGGTACCTTGGCATTACGCGATACTACAGAAACTATATTTTGTTGCGTGTGACTGCACCGTGTGACCTGAAAGCGTAGTAAGCATGTGGAGGAAACAAACCGGCAAAATTAAGAATCTGAGGTTTATTATTGAAGATTATATTTATTACCCAACATTCTATAATTATGTTATTACTACAGCAACACGCGGAACAGAGCTGTGCTCTCGGTTAGGGCTTGCCTGCTACGGGCAGCGCGCTGCAGGAACCCAGCCGCAGCACAGCACCAACAGCGCCGGGCTCGGGACAGGTGCCCGCTGCCTTGCAGAGCACACAACCGACCTCCCCCTGTACCCAACCGCACACACGCCCAATATTTTCGGTTTCAGGAGGGTTCCCGCTGCCTGCCCGCCGGGACCCCGGCCCCAGCCCAGCCCCGGGGCGCAGCGGTCCCGGGCCGCGCTGCCGGGCGGGGAGGCGGCGGCGGCCCCGGCCACCCGAAGGTGTGTCCTGGGCTAGGCGCGGCTCCCCGGCGGGTACTAATCGCCGCCCTGCCCCGGCTCCCCGCCGCAGTCGCCGCCCCGCTGCTCCATCGGCGCGGGGGGCGGCCGCGATGTTGGGGGCCCAGCAGCAGCTGCAGCCCCTCGGGCTGCCCCCGCACCTGCAGCAGCAGCAGCAGCAGCAGCACCACTACTACCGGCGGCAGCAGCACTACAGCACGCTGCCCGCCGCCCGCCGCCCCGCGCCCTGCCCGGAGCCGCTGCCCCGGCCCCCGCCGTGCCGGGAGCCGCCGCCGCCGCCGCCGCCCTGCCCGGAGCCGCCTCAGTGCCGGGAGCCGCTGCCCTGCCCCGAGCCGCCGCGGCCGCTGCCCTTGCTTCGAGCCGGCGCCTTTCCAGCGCCACGACGGCGGCCCCGCGCTCGACCGAGTGCGCACATACGGCCCCGGCTGCCGCCGGCCCAGCGCCTCCTGCTCGTCCCGAGCCGCCTCGCCGCTCGAGTGCCCGCACGGCTGCCAGCCGCTGCCCCCCGCCTGCGAGACGCAGCCACAGGTACGGCCCGGCCCGGGGAGGGGAGAGGAGAGGAGAGGAGAGGAGGCGGCGGGGCCGGGGCCGAGGCCCAGGAGCCGAGAGGGAGAGGCGCCAGGCCGCAGGTGCTGCCCGGGCACCCGGCTGCCTTCCCCTGGCTGCTCCTCGCCCGCAACTCGTAAATTCCCCGTTGAAGCCCCCTTTTCGTTTGATTCTGAGTAAATCCAGCAGTCCTGCATTTGGTCCCCTTGGACGACCCCAGTTTACTTTTTTAAAAAAACTTCTGAACTCCTCAGTCTACTGAAACGTTTTTGCCCATTTTGCCAGCAGCAAAACTGGAAGCCGATGGGGAGCCGCGTGTTGCTCCTGCAGCTCCAGGTTTGCCCCACGTCCACCCACCAGGCCCCTTGCTCGTGTGTTACCTCAGGGTGCGCTGCCTTGTGAGCGACAGCAGGCACAGGGGGCTGAACGGCCTGAAGCTGGGCAGGTAGAGAGGGCACGGTCCCCGCTCAGCTTGGTGTAAAGGTCTCCGCAAAGTAGTTCAGCCGGTCGGCTGCGGTGTCTGCGTTCAGGGAATGTACAGCTTGAAGGTCTTGATGGAATTTAATAGTTTAATAGATACATCTTAAAAGTAGAGATAATAAATTGAGAACAGCTTTGACTATGTAAGAACAGAAAAGGCGATCAGAATTTGTTCTTATACCATTTTTTGTCTCTCATACGTCAGACCATCATTAATATCAATAGAAACAGGACTGACATAATACATTCAATACAGGAACGTGTATTTGTTCCAAGTTCCTCAACTCTTATTTAACTTTCTTTCCTGTGGTGTAAAAATATTTGACTATGAAAAAGAACAGGGATTAAGGCAAATACGAAACCTGATCCTCTTCCAAAGCTGCTTTGCCTAGTTTAAAGGCTGCCTTGCTCCGGAGGATAGGGTGGCTTCTGTTGGTTCTGTAACGCGAGCCGCTTCCCTGGCACGGTGTGTGATGTGGCTGTGGCAGCCACAGATACCTGCTGCACCCAGGTTGTTAATCCCTCCTTGGCAAGATGTGGGGCAGGAGTGTAAATGCGGGGCTCCCCTCACAGATTTGTGATCTGCTTGGCTGGGCTCGAAGGTAGGCTGAATTGTCTTCAGTTATGTTGATGTTCAAGAGAATAAACACTGGAGGCCCAGACTTCGCCTCTATCCCCAGATTGATGAACAGTTTGGTTACAGACCCAAATTCTGTCCCAGCTCTGGGAAGTATGTTTGATTTTCAGCATCTGTTTTAGTCACCAAGTCCAGTAAGTTGTGCTGATGGAAAAATAATTTCTGGAAGTGTTTTGCTGGATTAAAGACAAAAGAGGGTGTAGTTTAAATTGGGTTTTGTGTGGGTTGCAATTTCAGTGGTGGAGAGTGAAGGTGGTTAATAAACGTTATTAGGAGGTTTCTCAGGAAGAAGAGGACAACAGATAGGGAAGTCAGCGGGGAGTTGGCAGGAGTTGCTGCCGGCTTGGCGCTGAATGGGAGCGGTCAGAGGAGCGCTGGGAGGGGTGGCCCGAGAGGCGGTCTGGGGACCCACGAAGGTTTCCAGGGAGCTGCCAGGAGAAGGGCAGTGCTCTGCGTGAGAAATTGCCATTTGGCTGCGTAAATGAAGCACTGCAATGAGCTCTGACTCACAGAGACGTTTTACCTGAACGCGAATTCTCAGTTAGTGGCAGCCTGGAGCTGTAGTTTAAGCTTATTACTGTTGATAAGGCGAAGGGCTTTCTTTGAGCAATATTTAATTTACCTCTGCAGAGCTTTTATAGATTAGTGATAATGAACACCTCCATCACTATTAGTACGCTGATATTAAGTCTTATGGGTGGTGTCTTCTGTTGTGTTCACGTACATTTTTAATAAACTAGAGGGAGGGAAAATGTGATAGTGGCATGTGTGATTGTGCTTCTTGTGGTTGCAGATTGTTCAGGATTCTCTTTTTTTTTTTTTTTTTTTTTGATTTAACTTTGTTTTATTCTTGGTGTAGAAGCCAAATGCTACTTCCAGACACGACAGGTTTCATATGGAGGGACTGAAGG